GAATGCCAGAATCTGGTCTGTGGGGATGGTGTGGAAAAATCATTATGGCCACCCTAACCTGTCTTCCAGAGAACAGGTCTACCCACTCCATTCCACTATATTGGTAGACCCGACCTTGGACCGTTGCCTTGTGTTGACCCTTAGAAAACATACCAGCACTTAGGGAAGAAAATAATTCTTGCAGTCTACTTTGGGTTTTTTAGTGAAAGACAACCAGCATTACAGGGCAAGTATAACAGAGGTGGAACAATCACTGTCAGAACCCTGCCTAACCTAACCAACAGGAAGTTGCTTAAATGTTAACCTGCCCAGATGACTTATTTATTCAAATATTTATATCCCACTTTTCCCTGTGACTCAAGGCAGCTTACAAATCATAGTGAAACGCATAATAAGGTGATCATTTCTGGAAAAAAACAAGAAAGGCTTCAGGGAAAAAATGGGAAATAAACCATTTTTCCCAAATTTTTCCAGGTTTTTTCCGGGCCTTCACATCTCTACACTGAACATGAATCAGCAGTGTGATGCGGTTGCTAAAAAGGCTTATGCAATTTTGGGCTGTATCAACAGAAGTACGGTGTCCAGATCACAAGATGTGATGGTACCACTTTGCTCTGGTTAGACCGCACCTAGAGTATTGTGTTCAGTTTTGGGCACCACAATTTAAGAAGGATATAGACAAGCTGGAACGTGTCCAGAGGAGGGCAACGAAGGTGATGAGGGGTCTGGAGGTCAGACCATAACCAACGGGTTGAATTTAAACCAGAAGAGTTTTTGGCTAAACATTAGGAAGAACTTCCTGACAGTTAAAGTGGTTCCTCAGTGGAACAGGCTTCCTCGGGAGGTGGTGGTGGGCTTGCCTTCTTTGGAGGTTTTCAAGCAGAGGCTAGATGGCCATCTGACAGCAAGGCTGATTCTGTGAACGTAGGCGGATCATGAGAGGGAGGGCAGGACGGGTTGCCTCAGTGCTTAGTACTCGTGGCCCTTTCTTACACGCTGATTGTCACTTTGGGGTCAGGAAGCAATTTTTCTCCAGGTCGGTTTGACCAGGGATCCTGGAGGTTTTTTGTCATCTTCTGGGTGTGGAACTGTGGAGGGGGAGGTGTTTGTGAATTTCCTGCCTCGTGCAGGGGGTTGGACTAGATGACTCTGGAGGGTCCTTCCAACTCTGTGATTCTACCCCGGCCCAGTTCTCCAGATGACCTTACCCAACAATTTTGTGTAGATGTTGAAAAACATAGGGGACAAGATGGAGCCTTGTGGAACTCCACAGGCCAAAGGCGAAGGAGCTGAGCTGCAACCCCCCAGCGCTACTTCCCATCACCTACCCTCCCCAGGTAGGACTAGAAGCGCCCTGTAGAATCCCCCATCTGGAGAGGTGGCCCAATAGGATGCCGTAGTCAGTGGTCTCAAAAGCTGCCGAGTGGTCCAGATGAATCCACAGCCAGTCCCAGAACCAGACCTGAAACCAGACAGGAAAGGATCCAAACAGTCAGGCCCATAGCCAGGATTTTTTACTTTGGGGGGCCTTTTAAAAAGTCATGGGGGCACTGGAATTTGCACGCAGCCCCCGCCTCTCCCTCAAAGCACTTAAAGGGACCCTTTAAATGCTTTGGGGAAGAAGTGGGGGCCATGCGCCTGCACTCACGGCTTGGAGTGCAGGCACACGGGGCCTCCCCCCCCCCCCCGTTTCTTCCCAAAAGTTGTGGGGCCTTGGGAAGAAGTCGGGGGGGAGGCCCTGGGAGGCCCCACCGTAGCTGCAGGCCTGCAAACCGTCACCTTCATCCAGGAATGCTTGGAGTTGTCCAGCCACCACCCATTCAGTCACCTTGCTTAAGAACAGGACGTTTGAGAATGGCTGATAGTTATTGAAATATTCTGGGTCCAAGGGAGGCTACTTTAGCAGTGGATGCCCCACAGCCTGTTTCAAGGCTGGGCAACCATCTCCCCATCTCCTAGAGGAGTTATTAACTACTTCTTGAACTTTGGCAGAACTCTGACCACTGATGTTTTTTCTCTTGATCTAATAACAGCGATTTCATCCTTCGAAATATTTATATAGCAGGCAATTAAAATGTGGAATTCACTCTGAAATTATTTTGTGATGGCCACAGGCTTTAAAGGGGGATTAGATTCATGAAGGATAGGTCTATCAGTGGCAACTTCCATGTTCAGAGGCAGTCAACCTCTAAATACCACTGGCAAGCTGCAACATCAGGAGGTGGTCTTGGCCTCTAGGCCTTGTTTGTTGGCCTTCTGGAGTAACTGGTTGGCCACTGTGAGAGACGGGATGGTGGACTAGATGGACCCTCACTGGTCTGATCCAGCAAGGACTCTTCTTTAGGTTCTTATGTTCTTGTGTAGATGAACAGCTAGACAAAGTTAGTGTTTTAACTACTACTCATCATGGGGCATTTGTGCTACCTCCCTAGAAAGACTAGAGCGGGACTCCAAAGTCTGTTGGGCAAAGTCTTATTTCCTGTTACAGTTCAAGCTGATGATCTGGAAGTCCCAAACCCACCAGATGATTTACTTTGAACAAATGTAATCTAGAATTGCCATTACATGGAATACTTCAGTTATTGCAATCAAGGAAAATGAGATTAGGGAGGGGTTCAGTGCCCTCAAACAATGCTGCTTCTGCCCCAACCTCTATTCGTATTTTTCACCCAAGTTCCATGGAAATTAAAGGTGCTGGTGCAGCACTGTTGCTGAAGGATAGCCTGGGGAACTTTTGCGCATGTGTGCATTGATGGAGGGGTTGTTAGAGCTGCCTCTCAGCGTGGCTTCAAGCATAAGAAGATTCTCTGTCATAGGAGGATGCTTGATATGCAACCAGTGTTCCCTCTAAGCTGTGGAGTTTTGTGAGCAAAAATTCCACTTTGTGAGCAACCGGCATTAAAGCTGTGAGCGAGCAATTTGGCCACTGCATAAATTAGTTTGCTCTGGAGGCATCTTTCCTGAGCTAAGACAAAAATGTGTGAGCTGGAGGCTAAAAAACTGTGAGCTAGCTCAAACTAACTCACCTTAGAGGGGGAACACTGCATGCAACCAGTGTTCTCTCTAAGCTGTGTGCATGAGCAGCTGCTCAGTAACGCACAATCTGGAGCCGCGCAGGGTCTTTCACCACCCACGGCCCATTTTAAGATGACAGCAGTTATATTCTGCTCAGGATGTGAACTGCTCCACTAAGTGGGGGGGGGGGGAATTAGAGGGAACATTGCTTCCAGCCTCCCAAAGGTTTGTGGTTGGCTCCAGCACTCATGGTAGCCATCTTGTGATTGGCTCAGGCCCCCTTAGAAACTACATCACTACATTTTGTGGTTGTAAAATTTCTCAAAATTTCAAAAGTACCCACAGGCTGGACAAGATTCAGGACCCCTACTTTAGGCTTTTGCTCTCTTGGAGATGTTTGGGTCTCAGCCTGGTGTGACGTTCTTTGAAATAACTAATTCAGGAGGCAGGCAGGCAGACTGATAGATGCTGGACTAGATGCTGGACTCTTGTGTGGGACTCCTTGTCTGCTAAATTAGCTCTGTGTCTGAACATCACTACATTTTGCAAGCTTGGCACAAACCTTGAAGCTGCCCTGCCCCTTGGAGTTAGGAGCCCCCTTCATCAAATTCATTTATTTTCAGAGCTGGTGAAGAAATGCTCTTTCGTGTTACTGCCCCATCACATTCTCATGCCTTCTCCCACAGGCCTGTTGCAGATGCAGCTTATCCTGCACTATGACGAAACTTATCGAGAGGTGAAGTACAGCAATCTGGAGCTGCAGAATATTGACAACAAGATGCTGATGGGCATCAATGTCACACCTATTGCTGCACTGCTGTACACGCCACTCCTCATAAGGTACTTCGCTTCCGATCCCTTTGTCAGTCCTTTATATCCAGGGAGAGCTCCCTTTATACATCTCTGGGAATGAAAATGCATACCATTGGCTGTCCAGCTGTGGCTGGAATGGAAATGCCTCCTTGGGGGGGGGGGGACCCTGTATTCTCTTTCCTGAGGTAGCTGCCACATGAGTGAGCCCCGTAGCTGTAGGGATTGGAAGTTTACCCACCCAAGAATCAAAGTGTCTTTTTCTCTCTTCCCAGATTCTTTGGCACCAAGTGGATGCTATTCTTGGCTGTTGGCATCTATGCACTCTTTGTCTCCACCAACTACTGGGAACGTTACTATACCTTGGTACCATCAGCTGTGGCAATTGGAGCTGCCATTGTACCTCTGTGGGCTTCCATGAGCAACTATATCACCCGGTGAGCCAGCTGCAGTGGCAGAGGGAAAGCACTAACATCACCATGGAGGAGATGGTGTGATGGGCGGAGAGGGTGCAGTTGGAGGAGGGAGCCATTTTGTCCATAGTATGGCTTGTTTCCCGCTGTATACCCTCATCCTATAGATAGACAATTTTTGATTGACACCATTTCAGAAGGGGTTCATGATGTTTGTCAGTCTCCTACTATATCAGCCTGATTACTTCACACCAGAATAATACATTGCTGGCTGGCACTAGAGACTCTAATCATGCTGTTGTGGTCATGTATGCGGCAAATGTTTTATTTAATTCTTCTCGGTCTAGCGGCAGGTTTCATCCAGGATACCTCTTGAATACTGTAAGGTGCCTTGTAGAGCGACTCAATCCGTCTCCAGAGTTGTTGTTCACCTTCATATTGACATTGTACCAACTGCGTCAAAATCGCTGCCCTGTGGTACCCTTGTAGTAGGGGAAAGTCCAAGCCCCCTGATCTTGTTGTCCTATGTACTATCATTCCATATATTCTTGACTTTTTTCCCTCCCACAAAAAGTTTGTCAGAGTGTTTTGCCATGTTTGTAACTCTTTCTTCGTGATGAAAATCGGCAAGGCCCTAAAAAGGAAGAGAAACTTTGGAACCAAAAAACTTTTGACAAGATGCAGTCTATCCGGTAAGGTTGGCGTAAGGGACTTCCAATTATCAATATCCAATTTAACATTCTGATATAAAGCGGCATAGTTGCATTTGCCCAGGTCTTTTAGATTAATTGGTATCATTATCCCCAGATGCCTCCAGGACTCCTGAACCCATTTAAAGGTGCAAAGACCGTGAAGCTTCTCTTCCGATTCTGGTCTAACATAGAGAGGCAATACTTC